GAAGGCAGGTAATGTAGAAGACTGCTATGTATAATACCTTAATGATTTTGTCACCATGTCTATTAAGTCACTTAACTTGACAAATCACCATCTTGTTTGTTTTGTTCAGCTTTTGTTGAAGTAATGAATTGCTGTCACGTTTGAACTTACTTCAAGTTTCTCATCTCTGCTTTGTCTCTGTTGCTTCAGACTGGTGCTGGACTTTGACCTACTGGTCTATGCGTTTGGACAGTTCCCTCTGGTGGTGTGCACATGGATCTGCATGTTCCTGTCTGTGTTGCTGGTTCCCTTCACCCTGTTCCACCTCTGGTCACAGACCCAGTCTGGGTCTTATAGTCATCCCAGGTTGTTCAGTTTGCTTTTTGGCTGTGTGTTCCTGCTCTTCCAGGCTCTGTGTGTGGGTTTCCTGCCTACATATGTGGTGGTGACCAACAGTTTGCCACCTGCATCCTGCTTCATCATCATCCTGGAACAGGTAGATGATCAGTGAATGCTCACTTTGATCATTGGGACCACACCCACAGTTTGTGTGTTGTATGTAAAATGCTTTCAAAGGCCTTTTTAAAATGTGCTATATAAACTTGTCTTCACTTCTCAAATTGACTGGGGGGTGGAAAGTTTTAATAACTGCTGTGTCTGTTCTATTATTTGTCTAACTCCAGGTGCGTCTCATGATGAAAGCCCACTCCTTTGTCAGGGAGAATGTACCAATAGTCCTCAACTGGGCTAAAGACAACAGCAGTATGTATCTATCCATCTACATGTCTTTTTCCTTCTTTTTTTCCTCTCTCTCATAGCTACTGTGTTCCCTTTTCATTCAGTCTTATTGTTGATAAGCAGTCTCTCCTGTCATCTATAGGCCCCAGTCCAGTGGTCCCTCAGGTTTCTCAGTATCTCTACTTTCTGTTTGCACCCACACTCATCTACAGAGACAAGTACCCCAGGTAAACTGACCCTCTCATTGTTTTGTGGGGTTCCTTCCCCCCCTCCCCCCCATGCAGTAGCTCATGTGTGTGGTAAAACCTTGTTTCTCATTCATGCAGGAACCCCGTGATCAGGTGGGGTTATGTGGCCACAAAGTTACTTCAGGTACCAACCTCTTTGACATTTTAATCCTGACCTTACTAAAGACTGCAAACAAAAGCCCATTTTTCTGACAGTTTCAACCGATCCCACCCCGCAGGTACTAGGCAGTCTGTTTTATGCCTATTACGTGTTTGTGCGGCTGTGCATCCCTCAGTTCCACAGCATCAGTCTGCAGCTGTTTGACCTGAGGGCCATGGTCCTCTGTGTCTTTAACTCCATCTTGCCAGGTGAGATTGGCCACTAGTTTATGGAGCCTTATCAACAAGTACCCTTTCATACCCCACCTGGTTTCTCTCAGTGTCGACTAGGGATGCGGTAGTAATACATTTTCTGTGTTTTTTCATTTGCAGGAGTGTTGGTTCTCTTCCTGGCATTCTTTGCTTTCCTCCACTGTTGGCTTAATGCTTTCGCTGAGATGCTCCGCTTTGCTGACAGGATGTTTTACAAGGTACTTCTACTGTTACTGCCAACTACAGCAGCATTTAAATTAACTTCTTATGTTCTACTTTAGACTTGACTTAATTCATTTTGATTACACATCACAGGATTGGTGGAATTCGACCTCTTTTGCCAATTACTACCGCACTTGGAACGTCGTGGTCCATGACTGGCTGTACTACTATGTGTACCGGGACTTCCTGTGGGTTAGTGGTTTTGCTGTTGGTACAGTTATTTTTAAGCAGCTGCATTGTGTGTTAGGTCAGGTACGATTTTATTGACTATTTCTGACGACAGAAGAACATTAAACAAATTTTCCAGCTTATTGCTATTATAAAATTGTATGGATCAGATTAAACCTTTACACCACTGTCGTTTTGATTTGTCTGTTCTCCCTGCTGTTGTCTTTCCAGATGTCTCAGAAGCGTTGCAGACCAGCAGCCATGCTGTTTGTGTTTACAGTATCTGCTGTAGTCCACGAGTACATTCTTGCTATCTGCTTTGGCTTCTTCTATCCCGTGCTCTTCTGCCTCTTCATGTGCTTTGGAAGTAAGAGAAAAGAGCTTAGTCCTCACTATTTTCACACCACTCTGCTTTTATTGTATGTTTACAATGAGTCACCCAGACTGGCTTGAAAATCCAGCTAAACCTAATAAACAGTATTATTCGGTCTGTGTTATGACACACACTAAATCAAGATATGTCTCTCTGCATTGACCTTTTCATTATGCTTCCACCCTGTCACAGTGATGTTCAACTTCATTCTGCATGACCAAAGGAAAGGTCCCATCTGGAACATAATCATGTGGACATCCCTCTTCCTGGGTCAGGGAGTCATTATCTGTCTGTACTCCCAGGAGTGGTATGCTCAGCGCTACTGCCCCCTGCAGGAGGTAACACCTGCAACATTGCTTTGTGCAGCCTGGTGAAATGTTGTTCTCCCTTAAGCACAGACACAAATCTAGCTTCATGTGATGTTGTTTTTTTTTTCTCAGCCTTCATTCTTTGAGTTACTGAAGCCTCGCTCCTGGAGCTGTCAGAGAGGCCCGATGGCGGACTTTGACAGACTGTGATCTACGTTTGGACCGCTGCAGAGGACTATCACCGATCAGTTTAAATTTGACCGGCCTTTCTGTTACTGTCTTAACTTCTGGTCTTTCACTTTTTATTTTATTGCACTAAGGTCTTGACTGAGTCTGCCAAAATGTTCTTTACTCTAACAGCAAAGTCAAAGTGTTGCCTTACTTATCCATTTTATGTTTTCAAAAACAAACCCAACAAAATTACAAGTTCACATAAAACCACATGGGAACTCTTTTATTTTGCATTCCCATTACGTTTTGCCTTGATCAACTGTGAAACCACTCCTTGTGCCAATGTGATAGTGGCAATCATGATATGGCAGCTGAATACAAACATCATTCACATATGCACTAATAGTTAATATTTAACAAAGTTTGCAATTACTATTCTATTATAAATAACATTCACTATGTTGTTTGGAAAGACTTTAAATTTTATTTATGTTCACTGCCAATAAGATTTATTTTGAAAAATGGCTACTGTTTGGTGTTTTGTATAAATCTATGAAGAACGGTGGCCTCTGTATTATAACTTAAAGATTGCAGTCAACTCCTCTGAAGAGGAAAATGAAGGTGGCTTTTGACATGCTGATATAGTTGGGAAATTATATTATAGTAAATCTGAAACTGTGTGTTACATATGTACAATGTTTCCCGAACACTTTTCTGTTGGTCTCCAGCTGTCAATCCACAAGGATGTTGGGCACTCTTTAAAAATAATGACACTGAACTCCATCAAACAAAGCTAAACAAATTAGAGGTGCGATCCTGCTGTAAGGAGTTAATGTATTCTGTGACTGCTGAATGTATTCTTGATGGTTTGAATATTTTCAGTTATGGAGAATATTTCTTGTGAACCTAAATTATGTTTTATTTTGTTCCTGACCAATGTTGAGAGTTGTGTAAAGGTGAAATTACTACAGAATAACTACTACTGTAACTGTTGCAGCTGGCTGCTTGAATGTTATAACATTGAATTAGTGATGATACTTGATTAGTACTAAGGGCTACACTTTGCTTTGTCAGACACTGGGTAGATTAAATGAGACAGTGTTTTGTTGTTGAAAGCACACAAGTATACATTTTACAGTACAGTGATTTTCCGTGTCAAACTAATAGAATAAGGAATTTATATGCAGTGTGCTTATAGTTCTTGTGGTCTTGACATGTGTTTACATATTTGTATTTTTTTTGTTGTTGCTGTTGAGGAAATCACAAAGTTAATGCACAGTAAATGTTGCCAATTCTGACATATTCCAATGCAGGGAGACTATGTGAATAATGAGATGCACAATACAAAGTAAAAAATCAGCAATGGAAAATTCTGCACTTCCAAAACCTGTATGACCACAAGGTGGCACTGTATTAACAGCTTTTACTTTGGATCCTTCCTCTGCTCAATTTGGCTGTGAATTGTGGTCAGGAGCTGGAGAGTACATGCAACCAGAGTCCCATACGAATTTTATATTAACAAACACAAGTACCAGCAACTTATTTTTATAATATGTACAGATAATAGAGAAATATTGGGATTCCCTGTAGTATAATAAGTAACTCTTGAGAACTCTACATTTGGCTGAAGCTTTAATTGTGCTTTATGCCTCAGAGATTTTGTTATTAAGGATAATATGTATGGTAGTGAAAAGAGCCAAGCTGCAGAAATGCTGTTTATTTAGATTAAATATTTATTTTTGGGAGCCGAGCATTGCCTACTTACTTACAGTCATATTTGTGTTGATTGTGATCTCTTTTTTTTTCTTGCCTTGCATAGCTCATTGTGTCTGGTGATCATTTTATGAATCAGTATGTTCTATTTTTGGATGTAGACAAATATATTCTTTAAAGACACATCAAAGTATAATAGCTATTACGATTAAAAAATGATGTATGCTCTTTACCTCTGTCATTCATCTTTATTTATTTATGAATGTGTTGTATGTAATGGTGTAAGTGCCAGTTAAATAGTATTGAAGTAGTCTTTATTTAGAGTTGATTTGCACATAATCAGATAATATATATGAGTTAAATACTGATAAGGAAGTTTATACAGTCTACTGGAATATGTAGAGATTGTATAAAATTTACAAATCAATAGAATTTTAATTATTAATTGCACTTAATAGTCATTTTACCATACATTGATTCATCAGCTACTGAAGCCTGTCTGACATCTGCAGAGTTGGTATAGTTTTAAAAATAACTTTATCGTTTTATATTATTTAAATAATCATACCTATACAGGTCATACCATATTAGTTTTATAGTACAGTGAATTACTACTGAAGCACTCATTCTATATGACCACACTGCATTGGCTTGATAAAACAATAGCTGATGGTGGTGTTTTAAGATTTTCTGTGATTTTTTTTTTCCCCCCCTAAGGACTGTGAGGGGGATCAACCCACATCAGCCCCCCGCCTGCTGGAACCGATGCTCGGGAACTGTTGGGACCCGGTTAGTGTTGGTGCTGGAGAGGTGGAGGATCACGGTGACAGGGGATCGCGGCGAACCCCCCGCCTTGTGCAACACATCTTCTATTCTGCGGTAAAGATGGCGGCGTCAGAGGGGGCGCGTAGCGGCCGGACAACGGCAAAACGATCCTGAAAAGCTCCAGATTTGACCGAATTTCGCTCGTCGGGTACCGTCAATATCTGCTCGGACACCATCTGGATCACCGGAATAGAGACAATCGCTGTCACACGCCGGGGTTGTGATTTTATTTGTTAAAGGTAGGGTGGGTGGGTTTCACTGATAACTGCTAACGTTAGCTAACAGGCTAGCCAAGCGAGCTAATACGGGCTAGTTAGCTCGTTGAAGAAGAGCGGGGAGGGGATTGAGGAAGACTATTCGGGCCAGGCCGCTCCAGCTTTGGGGGAATGTGAACCAGAGGTGCGCAGGGGGTTTGCTCGCTTCGTCCCAAACGTCCTTACGCCAAACTACCGGGATGGGACAGCAGGTAGGCCGCGTCGGTGAGAGCACATCGACCGGACTCCAGCCACCACAGCCCCACGCGTCCCAACCGCACCAAGGGAAGGGGAACCGGGGGAGCGGCGCCGGGAGGAGACCCCGAGAACCCGGCAGTAGCACCGGGACACCGCCAGGCAGGGCTGCTGCAGTCAACGTGCCCGACCCAGGGATCAACATATTCACGCAGCATTCAGGTAACAAGAGAACCACGTTAATTAACGGAGGTGTGGGTGACCGTGGAGCGGTCCGTGTGTACTGGGATATTTGTTTGCTGCTGATTAGCGTTTGCTAGCAGAGTCCATGCTAGTTTGACAACGACGCGTTAGCGGAAATAGCCATGCCAACCAACCTTAGCTTTCCATGTCTCATCCATTTTACTGTGTGCGATAATTTGTCCATTGTCTCGTGTATGCAGACAGGAGGCTGTTAATTCAGGAGGCGAATGAGTAAATTGCTCAGATTTGACACCGATGAAGCAGCATGTTGGAGCAATATGTATGTGCTGCATGTGACCTAACGATCCCCCAAAGGAAAGACATATGTTTTTGGGAAGAGGAAGGGGTCTGCTCAGCCTGTGCTCTCAGCCTAAGGGGGGTCATGACTGGAGATTACCTAGTTGTGTCTTCCTCTAAAGCCCCCACAGTGTGATACTTGGTTTGGTAAACAGTGATTCTTGCCTCCGGAGGTTGAGCAGCAATTCCACCCCATTAACTCACTATGGCAGCCACCACAGGGCTCACATTACAATACCTAGTGGCTTTCACATGCTCACTTACATCCTCTGTCTGATGATGTCTACTGTTACAACACACTCAGCAAGCTGACTGCACAGTTTGATCCGGTGGGAAATCTGTGTGAATTATTTAAGCCACCTTCTGTCATCATGCAAACATGAAGTTTAAAGCTTCTCTTGCGTGATTATATTTTAATACCCTGACGTCTATCCTCTCATAGGATCAGGGAATGCATTAGGTAACTTATGTATTACAGGAATACTTTGGGTTAACAGGCATATATAAATAAATAAATAAAAAGACGCCCACAAGGCAGAGGTGTGGCAGTACCTCCCATCACCCATGTTCCTGCCTCAGAGCATTAGCTATTCATTGATATTGTTATCTGCTCTGTGAGTCATGGAGAAGTAGCCCAGAGGTAACCCCTCCGTGCCCTACATAGCCTGCCTCCTTCCTCCCAGCCTTCCCCTCTTAGGCTGGGTCTCTCAGTGGCAGATCAGGGCTTATAAGTAATGGTGATGACATGATGTCTGCTAGGTGGCGTGCATAATATCATCATCATTGCTGTTATAATGAATTTTACTCATGCAGAGCTTTTCTTAATACTCCAGTGTGTTTTACGTGGTCATCAAGGAAACCCTCACACATGATTTTCCCTTCTTTTCTTCCTGTGTGTTTGGGACATCCTTAGCTTGACTCGATGGTTGATGTCTGTCTGTTGGCTTTGTTGTCACCCGTGTCCTTTTACATGTGATGCATAGAAGTAAAACTGCTGGCGTAACCTTCGTAGTTTCCGCTGATGTCCCAGAGCTAACTTCCTCACGCCATCGTAGTGAGCTACGACACATAGAAGGTGCAAGCTTTTGGGAATGGAACATATTTTCAATTCCTGGCTGGCACATGTTAAAAGCAACCCTCCCTTGCTTGAAGTACATACACAGACAGACAGACTTACTAAGTGCAGCACCACTCAGTGTCTGCACTATTCTGTTCTCTTCGATGTCTGTGCAGGAGTGGCCTTTTTATAGCAGCCAGGATGCAGTCACACAGCCACTCTGCAGAGAGACTGCTACTCTTCAAAGCACACAATAATAGGACAAAGACTCTTAAGTGAGGAAGCTTGGGACTGTGCTTTCAGTCTTCTACTGACTATCAAAGTGCCTTTTTTCTGGTAGTCTATTTATGTGATAATGATCTGAATAATTATCTTACACATCTTTGTGGGTGTAGTTTGTTCTTTTAATGAGACTATTTTGATTGTTTGGAAGTCGGTGTTCATTACTATATTTTCATCATTTGTCAATCAGTTATTTTTCTATAAACTACAAAGTTTGTAAAATGTAAATAAATCACACATACTCACAAGTTACACCAGTATGACCAGTAGCCATAAAACAAATATGAGATTTTTGTATCCTATATAGTATGAAACTAAATGTATAAGCAAGCAGCTCCTTGAATTTATAATCATGTATCCACAGTCGTGTGTGGGATAAATGACCAAATAGAATCAACACATTTTCTGTTGTTGCTGTTGTTGTTGTTGTTGTTAATTTGTTCAGAAATAATGTTGTGTGAACTGATGAAGTGGTTAGATGATCTGTTAATTTGACTGGGACATCACGTGTGTCTTGTCAAGAGGAAGTTAAGATAAGATAAACTTTATTGATCCCATGCAGGGAAACTGAAGTGCTGCAGCAGCAAAAGGAAGTACAAGAATAGATGCGTAGTATAGTTGTGAGCCAACCGGTGGGACAAGGTGTTGGTTTGACAGCAGAATTCAATGTGTGCTATAGTATCTTTTAATAGTGTTTGCGTTTCATAGACGGATTGGCTTCAGAGTCTTTCCTCCTTAAAGCAATCAGAGATCAACATGTCGAAGTGGTTTTATTAATGCAGCTTCATAACCACTTTATAACAGACTACCATATGTCTGAGGCTAAGTGATGCCTTCTTGGTGTGTAATTGAAAGGTGCCAGTCTATGAAGAATGCATTTTTCTCTGTTGAAGTCATGCCTGTATGTCCCTGCCTGTCTTTCCAGTGAGTATCAGTGGGTATCATATGTGCACATGCTTCCACTAGAGTTTCTATCAGTATGCTTGAAACCACTGAGTCATTTTAGGGGGGGGCTAAAAAGTGCCCGGAGGCCATTGGTGTAAATTGGCTGTTAATATTCCTGGCCCAGTGGCCTCTACTTCCCCCTTTCCCTTCATGTCTCTCTCTTCAGTTGTAGTGAATTTTTCAGCATCAGTAGATTCCATCTTTGGGCCGTCTTTCTCTTTTCCCACTTTAGAACAATGTGAATCAGCTCCTGTCCCCTCCTCAGGTGTGCAGCAGTTCTCCGAGATCATCACTAATTTAGCATCCCTGTCTCTCAACAAGACGCTTCTTACCCCCCTGAACAGACAGGGCAGCTTGAAAACACTGAGCTACACAAGGGCAGATAGGGAGCAGGCCGCCTCTGTGCTGATTCAAAGGGAGACAGCCACATGGATGAAGTATTGGTGAATCAGTGGCTGCCACATATCGATGGTTCCACCCGTTTAGCCTTGTCAGGGGTTCAGAGATCTCCATCTCTGCAGTGGGGTCATCTGATACACACACTGCAGTGGGGGAGAGTCCTTTGGACTGACACTGTGAGGTGAATCTGCTGGAAAATTGGCTGTGTTAATGAGGCCATTGCAAGGTTGCACTACAGTTCACTGCTCTTTCACTATTTCTTATGTCTTGTTATAGCTTGTCTTTCTTAAATGAGACCTATAGCTTCTAAAAAAAATATTGTTATGAACTGGTAACAGTGCTTCTGAAGGTTCTTTTTATAAAATCAACAAAGGCTAATCTGTTTTTGCTCTAAACAGATCATAGAAATTGGGGCAGATGAGTGGATTTGAATATTTAATATAATAAGCAGCAGTACTAATGGTGAATGTAGAGCCAGCTGTACCTAAAGTGCAGCACTGTTAAAGCTGCCCAGAGGAGAAGAGAGATGCCTGGATCCAGGGACCTAAGCTGATTTGCATCACGGGTGAAATTAGATTAGAGACAAATCCACTTTTCTGTGGACTCCACTGCAGCCACTGTAATATCTGGGGGAAATCAAGTTTCTGATGCTTCAGCAGCTATGGGTGAGATTTTAATAGGCTTTAAAAGATAATATCCTGGAGTAAAGATGATTTGTTGACACAAACTACTTAGTCAGTCCTAGTGACTGCCATTAACCACTAGGAGGAGCCATGGCCACACCTCCTCTGGGTGAAACTGGCTAGAAATTAGGGCAGACCTGATGAGTCTGACTTATTGTCTCCAGAGTTGGGACTAAGTGTGATTCAAATTGATGTGCTGGAAGCATTGACTGTTTCTGTGCAGATAATTTTAACACAATCAAACAGGGTTTATGTCTGGAGACTGCGTGTACCCTTGTGCACTCTGTAATGGCTGTGTATTAAATAATATATGTCTCTCTGTGCATTCGTCCTCAGCCCATGCTTGCCCTCTGCTACAACTGACTGCCAAGTCTCTCTATCAGCATGAGCCTCTGCTATTAGTCCTTGCAGCTAAGCAGCTCTGCCCATCTAGAACCCTTGTCTCTGTTGAACCTTGGCTATTGCGATGGGCCTCAATCAATATTTAAAAAGACATGTGCCATTAAAAATCTATAGTACTATCATAATCTAATGTTACGGCACTGAAAACACAAGTCAGAGATGTATCTAACTTGCATGTAATCATAATTTAAGAGAGTGATCAAAGATTTAAAAAAGTTTAACAGAGCAGAAGTTTTGTTTTTCTCAAAGCTTTTGTGTCATTGTGACTGCGTGTTCCTGTACCCAAACTCCCAGTTGCAGCCATGAACCTTTGCATCTGCTACCAGTAAACCTTCTGTAGTTCCCAAAACCACAGTCCTAGTTTTTATTCCTTGGCCTCAGCTCTCTGCAGCTTATATCATTAAAGAGTGAGGATTAATCAGAACAGTGAGCGATTGACTGTGCAGATGGTGAAACCATCCCTTGCATCTGTCAGCTTAAAAAATACCAAATGTTTTCAACTTTGTGGAGAGGTCTAGCCAAATTGTTTTTAGTGGCTCCTGGTTAAATCGCAGTTTCTCTTAAGCTGCAATGGTGCAGCAGGGGAAAAAAATTAGATATGGGGTAGGAAAGGCGGGGGGGGCAGTCCCTGTGCCAAGCCTGTTAAGCATTGATTTGCTTCCAGGATCAGTCCTCTGTTGCTGGCATTATCACTGCAGCTTATCTTCTGGGTTGCAGGCTGGAGACTTGGCTAGAAACACACACTTGCACACACTTACTGTAAACACCCACACATACATTCTCATGCTTTGTTGTTGTCAGTGACGTTACGTGGTGTAGCTTTTTCTGAGGATTATCCAGCACGTCCTACTCCTTCAGTGTAATCGCCCACCAGCTGACCAGTCAGTCAGAAAACATTAATCTGGGCGCCCTGT